GGTAGATAGATGGTAGAGGGTAGATAGATGGTAGAGGGTAGATAGATGGTAGAGGTAGATAGATGGTAGAGGGTAGATAGATGGTAGAGGGTAGATAGATGGTAGAGGTAGATAGATGGTAGAGGGTAGATAGATGGTAGAGGGTAGATAGATGACTCAAGGAAGCAGGAGAAGAGGCCCAGCAGAGTTTACGGTGGTGCTGTTTCCCAAGGAGGGGAGGGAAAGGGTCACACTTAGACGCCAGCATGTGCAGGAGTGTGCGCTGGCAGAGAGGAGCAGAGTAGGGAGTCAGACATGTAGGTGTCTGGAGCTTGGAGGAGAGGTCTGCTCTTAAGATAGAGATTCTAGGACCATGAGCATTGTCCAGGGAGAGGGCGGAGCCTGAGAAGAGGGACAAGGAGCAAGTCTGAGGAACCCCAACATTTTGAGAGTGGGGGGCAGAGATGGAAGCCATGGAGAAGACCACAGAGAATGCCAGAGAAGTAGAAGGAGAACAGCAGGACACTGGGTGACGCTGGCACAGGAAGGACACTGGGTGGCGCTGGCACAGGAAGGACACTGGGGTAGCAAAGGACACTGGGGTGGAGCTGGCACAGGAACCAAGAAAAGAAATGTGGAGGAGGGAAGCGGGGAGATCGCATGAAGCCTGGAGATGCAGGGAGAAGTTTTCTTTTTTTAAAAGAATTACTTTATTTAACTTTATTTATCCATTCATTTCTTTTCATTTGACCAGAGAGGGATAGAGAGAAAGAGAGAGAGAGAGAGAGAGCAAGCAACCAGGTCCAGGACTCGAACCATGGTGGGCCATGTGAGGTCCAGCACCTTTAACCACTGTGCCACCTGGCGGCCCCAGGAGAAGTTTTCAAGATAGGCGTATTGGGAACCAGCAGTTAGCCTAATGGCTATGTCACTGGACTCCCACGTAGGCGACCACGGTTCGCGTCCAGGACCTGGTGGCTTACAACTCATGCCGGGCGCATGTGCGTGCGTGCCCAAGATCCTGAGAAGAGAATGGAGAAGGGATTGCGGCGTGACCATCCCCTCTGGGGGGGGATTTCTTGCTTTCTGTCTCTATGTCTCTGTCTGTCTGGCGAGTGCACGCGCCCTATCGCAAAAACCTCTCAAAAAAAAAAAAAAAAAAAAAAAAAAAAAAAAAAAAAAAAAAAAAAAAAAAAGATAGGCGTATCACATTTAGATTTGGGGGGGAGAGAAGGGCTGTCACCTGGGATGGAGTGGGTGTGGAAGGTGTTGATGGCAGGAGCTCTGACATCTGTGAGGACCTGCTTCTAGCTCACTCGCTCAGTAGCTATGGGACTGGGTGGTGTGGGGCGGCGCCTCTGTTTTCTCTAATAAAATCAACCCCCCCATAGCACCTTTACAAAGAGCTTACTACACCTCGGTAGATGTGAGCAGCTCCGTGGGGATGGCTGTGTGAGTAATCTGAGTCTCTGAGAGGGTAGGAACATCCCAGCTAGGAGGAAGGCACCTGTCTGCAGCAGGGGAGGGAGAGGGCGGGTGCAGGCAGGTATGTGGGCTCCGCGGGAGAAGTTAGAGGCAGGGAGGAGGTGAAACCACAGGAGCAGCTGGGAGAGAAAGCTCTCAGATCGGGGCAGCTGCAGGCCAGAAGTAGAAGTGGAGCATTTATTTGGGAGCAGAGCAGTCCGGGGCATGGCCAGGTGTCGAGGGGGACAGAAGAGAAGGTCCTTGGGGATGAGGACGTCAAAGAACCACAGGCCAGGTGGGATGGGCCCCCCAGTGGCACACAGGATGACTTCGTGAATGAGGGGTGCACCCTGCAGAGAGGGGTGAAGATGAAGAGGGGCAGCTGAGTGGGTGGAGGTGTGACTGGGGTGCACAGCCGGGAGGAAAAGAGAAGCTTCCACTGGACCACACTGCCGAGTGAGCCAGGCCACACTGCACTGGAGGGAAAGGAGTGGTGGGCCCCAGCACAGAGCGGCACTGCAGAGATGGGGAGGGCTGTGTGAGTCTGTGAAGTTGGCCCTGCATGCTGGAGAGGCCCCCCAGCACTAGACAGGCTGAGTCAACCCACTGGGCGCATCCTGAGTTCGAACTAGTACGGGGACCCACCTGCTCCAGCTGCGGCTCTGGCTGTCGTGCAGGGCCTCCCAGGCACTCGTCCTGCAGAGCCTCTGCCAGCAACACGCTCCTCACTCCCTCCACTCCCTCCTCTGCCTCCTCTCCCTTTCCTGCTCTGCCCAGCCCCAGAGCTCAAAGTCAGCCTCCATCCACCCCTGCTTTGCAGCAAGCCCAGCATGGCTAAGGAAGAAGCTCCCTCCGTGTCCTGCCCTCCCGACTCACCCAGCCCAGGCAGTGCTGGCTCTCTGGCCGGCAGGACAATGTCCTCCCCTCCTCAGTCACTTCCAGTGCCTCCATCAAGGCCGAGCGAACAGCCAGTGCCAAATGAACGCTCACTGTGCCCCAACCCGCCCAGGGACAGGTCCAGGGTGCGATTATCCAGCCTCCCCAGCTGCAGACCTCACCAGCCTGGCCCCACCTGGTGTGCACAGCCTGCCCCTGCCGCAGAGCACACTGCTGGGGAGAAGGGGTGCAGCATGAGGCCTTCATCGCGGGCGAAAGGGCTGGACGCCTCTCACCGGACTGCAACTGCCTCTCCCTGCCCCATGCCTTTTTCTGCCCACTCTCCTGCCAGTTTCCTTCTGCTGGAAGTGGGGGTTTCTGGCTTATGACGTTCCCTCCCTGTCTTCCTCACTCACACGCATACACAATTACTGCCTCTCTTCCTTTTGCCAGTGTTCAAGGGCTCTAGATCCCTGGGGCTGGGCTGGGGCCTTCTGAGCACCTCCGGGGAATCCTAATCGCATGGCAGCAGCTGGAGCCTGACTCTGACACGGAAGGAGTTAAGGAGCTAGCTCCCCTTCATCCCAGGCCCAGCGGCTGCAGC